TTCCTCTGCCTGCCTTTGAGTCTCTGCCAGTGCAAGTGCTGGTGGCCAACCCCCACTGACACAGTAAGCTCTGAGTAAATATTCCCCTGTTTGTTCTCATTTGGATGGTCTTCATTTATTTCCACAATCTCAGTGCATTTTTCTCTGGCCATCAAATAAAGCCTAATAAGTAATCTAAATGCTGACCCAGAGAGCTTTAATAGTGAATAAAGATCAGTCCCCATCCACACAAGCAGAAGAGCCCAGAAGAGGGGTTTAAAGTGGGGGCTCTCAACTCACACATGCAGGCCTGTACCCCAATTCCACCACTTCCCCAATGCATGACCTCAGACAGGTAACCGCTCAGCTCTCAGAGTCGCAGCTTCCATATCCATAACATGGACGTGACTAGTACTTACCTTGTATGCTGGCCGTGATAACACAGTGAGGGAATGTATAGAAAGTGTAAATGTAGAACCTGGGACAAGTACACATGATAATTTAAAAGTACGAATTAACAGTATCCATTAACACATATTAATTATAGCATAAAAGAGTACTGGTGTGTCTACAGTGTGCCAGGCACTCTTGTAAGCGCTTTACATGAAGTAACTAACTCACTCCATAATGCCAGTGATAATGGAGGGTGGTTTCACTCCCCGTGATGCACCCACTGGTCACTTCTGACTCCCACAAACACACACAATGAATTGGCAATGCCTGCCTTTATAGATGAAAATCTAAACTCCCTTTATAGCACTGCATCCTTTTTTATCCCAGTACTGAATCAGGGTTTCAAAATTCAAATACCCTCAGGAGCCAGATGGGTGACATATGTGAGTGAAATGGGCCAGGTGTGAGACAAAAGGGAGTGGTAGGGACTGGGGTGAATTAGACAATTTATGATGCATCTAAAGGCGGTGAACTACAACCAGCTAGCTCTAAGTTGCTGAATCTTCAAAATTTTCAAAGAAAATGGTATATAAAACCTCCCAATTGTTAGAGGTTGGTAACTGTCTTAAATATTTTAAAGAATGCCAGGTGGGCTAAATAAGGCACACCTCTGTGGGCTGAATTTGGCTACTGCCACCAGTTTTACAAACTGTTGAGTAGATGTTTTTCCTTTAAGTAAGTACCAAGGCCCCACAACTAAAGTTTAAACAAAGATTTGGGAATTGGGGAACATCCTTTGGCTGATCTGCCTCCTCTGGTCCTCTCCCTCTCCTGTCGCTTTAACTCCAAAGGCCAAGAATCTAAAATCTTAGTGGATTCCCTAAAGGAAGACGCTGCTGGAGGGCTGCAGACTCACCATCCAAATTCCAAAGGCCCCAGGGATGCTATTTCCAGAAGGCTGACAGTTCATTGCTTGATTTTTCAAGACCAAGTCAGAATTAAAGTCCCTTTCAGCTCTAAAATTAACTTCTTGGGGAAAAAAGAAAAATACTTAAGGGGTTTCTACCTACCAAGAAGATAATACTCTGAGGCTTTCTACAGTCTGGATGTTGAGTCCTCTTCTAGTCTCATTCCTAAATGAATCTCCTCTTCCCTAAATTAACCCTCAGCTCTGGCCTGACTGGGCCACATACAGCTGGGGGTGTGGCTGGTGCCCCTCCTTGTCTGTTAGAGGCAGTGAACTGTGGGGATGAAGGTCACAAGCTCTAGGGTCAGATCACAGGGGTTCACATCAACCATTCCCTACCTGTGTGACCCTGGACATGCTACTTAACTTCTCTGTGCCTCAAAAAAATGGGAATAATAATAGTACTTGCCTCTTTCAGTTGTTTGTGACAGAGTTTAATGAGTTAATTCATGTAATGGACCTACCACATGGGCTGAATCATTCTAAGTCTCAATGAATGTTAGCTAACGCTGTGTATGCCACTGCCTGGCCTGAAATGCCATTCCCAACCAGACTTCGAGGCTTTGCTGACCACCAGACCATCTGCCCTCCTTTTCTTCTAACTTCACATCCAAAATATTATCTCTACATCAGGAGTAGCAAATAAGTTTAGTCTTATGTGCCAACCCCCCACAGCAGTGATAGGGGTTGCCTGAAGGGGTAGGCTCAATGTCCTCCATGACAGAGGGAGTGCTGAAGTGCTGCAGTTGATTGGTAATGTCCGCCATGGTAGAGGGAGTGCTGAAGTGCTGCAGTTGATTGGTAATGTCCGCCATGGTAGAGGGAGTGCTGAAGTGCTGCAGTTGATTGGTAATGTCTGCCATGGTAGAGGAAGTGCTGAGAGGCAGGGGCAGTGAAGCCATCCCTTGGCCATTCTTGGTCTACAGCAAACATATGGCACCGCCTTATATTAAAAGAATCTCTATGGGGTTGGATTTCAGGCTTCTCTAGTTTCTATGAGAGCCGATAACTGGTTTTAGACCACCCCACCCCTTCCAGTGGAGTGACCAGCACAGGGCTCAGTCCACACCAAGTTTTGAATCAGTAACAGCCAAAGACTAAATCAAGAGGCTCCAAATAGAATCCTGGCTTCTTCCAGGCTACAAAACCCACTTGGGATCTACCAGAGCCTTGGAATCCTGTTGGTGGGCATCTGAATAAGCACAACTCCAAAATGGCATGATCATCCTCAGTCAGGATTGGAAGGAGCATGCTGGACTCACAATGAATTCCCCACTTCTCTTTCTTTGTATCTATAAAGCAAGGTTCGCTTATGTTGGAATTTATACACCCAGTTCCTGAATGAAAGGGAAACAACCACAGGCTAACATTCACTGAGGACTCACAATTTGCCAGGCATTGTTTTAAGAACTTTATTATATTATTTAATCTTTACCACCACCCCAGGAGATAGATTTCATCACTATCCCTATCATACCAACAGGGAAACTAAGGTCCAGAGACGTTAAGTGACTCGCCCAAGGGCACACAGCAGCTATATGGCAAAGCCACCACTGTCTCCTACTGATATCCATTTTTGTGAGCAAAATTAGGAAAAGACAGGCTTGTCCCCCCAGCACATAGAAGTCCCCTACTTTTAGCGATCCTAAAACCAAATCTTCATCATACAGATAGAGGCTGCTGACTCATTTTAACAAAGAATTATTTACTGCAGAGAAAGAAATTGTCTTAGAAAGCTCTTTCGTATATTTAGAAGTTGGAATTCATTTACAAGGTTTCCACTGATATGTAGCATTCTAGTATTCTGCCTGACACATCATACAGGGCAGGGATAGGTCAGACTATCATGTGAAAGCCTTAAAAGTCTTCCTGAAGAAGAAACACTTGAACCTCACAGTCTAGAATGCAGAGTTCTAGAACAGCTGTATTTAATCCTGGTTTCACAACAGATTTATTTGGGGGAGCCTTCAGAAAATATAGATGCCAGCAGGATCTTTGTTTTGTTCTGTCAATAGGGGTTGCTAGAGGGAGACTGGCAGGTGGAAGGTGGGAGAAGGAATTTTCTCCTCTTTCCATTGACTTCCTATTTGCTTCTTGTTCTGATGAGTGGCACCCAGCCTTGCTGCTTCATAACAGCAGCTGCAATTCACTTCCATAATAGCACATGAATCCAGTTTGCAGTATTTCCAACTATTGAAGAACCAGTTTTATAACTCCTAGCCCTGGTGACACCAGCACAAGCTGTGCCCTCTTCTCAGGGGTTTTAGTTTCTGCTCTACAGGGTCCCTGCTCCAAGCTCCAAGTTTTTGAAACTTTTAACTTCCCTTATTCTCCCAGCCGAAGGGATGATAGCCACTTTCTGCAGCTGCCTCTTCCCTGGTACCTCAGTAATGCCTTCTTGACTTTTCAATTACCTAGTTAACATTTCTTTGTACATAGCTAATGGTTCTTTATATTAAATTCTTGCTTTTAATATACTTATGCTGTCTCAGTCTCTTGGCTGGCCTTTGTTTCCCCCAATTTTGAACTGTTTCTTTCTCTGCCCCCAAATTCCACTCATCCTTCAAGATCTAGCTCAAAATGAAAAATTCTCCGCCCACTGCAACACACACAATTCTCATCTGTGAATTCCTATAGATTTTACGGTCTCTACTACTCAAGTTTCAACATGATCATATATTGCAGGGGTTGGCAAACCATGACCCCTGGGCTAAATTCAACCTTCTGTTTTTGTAACTAAAGTTTTATTGGAACCCAGCCACACCCATTCATTTATGGCTGCTTGCATGCTGCAACAACAGAGTTGAGTCATCACCAGAGAGACTACATGGCCCATGATGCCTATTTACTATTTGGCCCTTTCCAGAAGTTTTCTGACCCCTGGTCTAGTGTCTTGTGTGGGTCTCTAGTTCATGTTTTCAATCTCTCACTACACTGGATACTGAGAACTGCAGAACTCTCAGCACATGACAACTCCATTCAATCCTCCGCGTGAAGAAACTTGATCAAACTCTAAGAGGGCTTCTAGCAGCGTAAGGCTAGCTCCCTAGGATCACTTTTGCACCTCTTATAATACCTGCTTAAGAAAGCTCAGCATGGCCAGGGAAATTTCATGTTTGTTCCTGCCAATGCACACCTGATGATAGGCCCCGACCTCCCTTTCCTACAGTATTTATGAGAAAGGGTTTACAACTGTAAATATCTGTCTCTTGCAACTAAGAAGCATCTCTCCCAAGCACCTGAGAGCCATTCTTCTGAAACAGAATCATCAGGAAAGACAGGACTTCTGTCTCCCAGCCTCTGTGGGAGGATAAAATCCTAACTTTGATAACTGCCAGCCAGCAGACGCAGCTGGACTCACTGCTTCACACTGCCCAACCCTTTGTACTATGTCGCTTCTCTGGCTCTATGGAGACTCCACTCTTCCCCATCCCTCATCCTTCCTTTAAAACACACAAATCACCTCTGCACAAATTGTAATGAAGCTCAGCTCTTTTACCTACTGTCCATAGTTACTGAATAAAATCTGTTTCACCACTTTAATGACCAGCTGTATTCATTTTTGATGTCAGCAAATGATCAACACCCATTTTATTAATTAACAATTCATTGATTACTAACAGTTGGCTTCTGTTCCATCCCACCTGGCAAAGCCTCTTACCTAAGAGTGAACTGGTCTGCCACAGAGCTACTGGTCAGAGAGACCAAAAAGGTGGCCGTGTCCCCTTCCCGGACTAGATTCAGAGGTACCGAGATGACCACATTCTCGTCCAAGCTCACCAGGGACCACTTCAGATCATCTTGGGTTGGGTAGACCACCACACTCCCAATCCTCTCTCGGGCTGGAAACACTTGCTGGGGGCTCTCCAGGCCTGAGTGGATATTGTTCTCCCACTTGCCTTCCTCCTCCAGAGGACACTGGCCAGCCTTGTCGGCTGGGTAGAGCGTGAAGAAGAGCTCCATCGCGGTGCCCCCAAGCAGGGCTGGGATCTCCTCCTCTGGCTCCAGGTCCAGGCCTGAGCTGAACCACTCAGGCAGCAGCTCCAGTTCAGCCACACACAGCCCTGGGGCCCCTTGCAGCCGACAGCTGGCCGCCACTTCCCTGGCCTCAGGGAAAGCAAACATCTTGACACAGGGTAGATCTTCTGTAAGGTCGCTGTCATCCCAGCCCATGCCAGTGACATAAAACAAGGTCTGCACTTTGGGTCTGTTGGAGTAGATGGAGCTGTCGAGGATGTGGGATTTCAATTTCCAGTTGAAGGGAAACTTGTCCATGTTTCCAAAGGCTGTAGATGTCAACAGGAGCTCCTGGGGGATTATCTTCTCCACTGAAAACGGGCCATAGCTGGCATTGATAATAGGGGGTGTCCTGGCTCGGTAGATGAAGAATGGCTCCACCCGGGCCTGCAGACTGGAGTTCCTTGTGAGGTCTTGGTTGGCTTCTTTAAGGAAAAACGACTCCTCTGCATTGGAGATGTGCAAGCTCGTGGGGAGGTAAGCAGGGAGCGAGGAAAACTTCTGCAGGCTATCCACAATCCCTCGACTCTCTGTCACTGCACAAGAAAGGAAAGCAAAAGAATAAAACTGTGTTCTGAGATGTAATGAAATAAATGCAATGCAGTCTCCACCCACCTTCCCAACAAACCACCCACTGGCCACTGTTTCTCCCCCAGGTCTCATCACAGTGAAAGCCCTGTAATTACATAAAGTATGGTCTTCAGGATCTTCCCAAAAATACAGCACAGAGTGGGAAGGAACCCCATTTACCACCGATCCAATAGTCCTAGTGCTGAACAGTTATCTCTCTAAAGGGAAAACACTGCTTCTGCTGTTTGTGCAAAATCATAAACTCAAAAGATCATCGTCATCGTTGTTCATCTACCCCACAGACAAAAGGTTGCGTATCTACCAAGTCTACCAATCAGGCATTGCACCGTTGTATGTGACGTGTTAGTACCTTATTACTTTGATACTCATGCTGCTCTCTATCACTTCTATAAGTGACATCTACGTGGACATGATGACATCGCTATAATTCTTATTGAAAAGAGAGTGAAGCTACCACTCAAGAGTTCCTGCTTCTAGAAAACTCTCCTTCCGAAATACCAACGAGAATGCACACAGGTTACAGGGATGTTCACCACAGCATCATTTAGAATTGCAAACAAACTTAAGAGCATATGTGCTGAGCCTGATGGCTGGATTTGAATCCTGGCTTTGCCACTTCCTAACTGAGCAACCTTGACCAAGTTACTTAGCCTCTCTGTGCCACAAATGTCCTCACATAAAGTAGGAGATAAACATGAATTCTACCTTACTGGGTTGCCACAAGGATTAATGAGTTAATAAGTACAAAGCACAACCAGATGTGGTGGCTCACACCTGTAATCCCAGCATGCTGGGAAGCCAAGACGGTTGGGTCACTTGACCCCAAGAGTTCAAAACCAGCCTAAGTAAAACAGTGAGACCCTGTCTCTACAAAAAAAAAAAAAAAAAACACAAAAATTATTCAGGCATGGTGGCTCGTGCCTGTAGTCCCAACTACTTGGGAGGCTGAGGCAGGAGGATCTTGAACCCAACAGGCGGAGATTACAGTGAGCTGGGATTGTACCACTTCACTCCAACCCGGGCGACAGAGCAAAACCCTGTCTCAAGAAAAAACAAAATAAAATAAAATAAAGCACTTAGAACAATGCTGGCACACACACAATTACTATTTTAATCCATATTCAATAGGTTGATCAACAGGAAACTAAACATTTTATAGTGGAATAATATGAAACTATCTTTAAAAATGAGGTAGAGCTATATAAACATACTTGAAAAGATGGCCACAATACGACATTAAGGTTAAAAAAAAAACAAATTAAGTGTAAAAAAAAATCAAATGTGTCATATGTGATCCTATTTGGTAAAGTTTTAAAATTCTACCTATGTATATATAAATGTATATATTTATGTTGTGTGTCTATAGAACCCAAAGGAGAAAGTTTTTTTGCTTTTTACCATTTACATTTCTACTTTCTTTTAATTTGTTACAACCACGTATTATTTTGTTAATTAAAACACACAACACATATACATGAGTACATACGTGTATGTGTGTTTCTTGGCATGTTTCCTTCAAATGGGAAAACACAGACAGCAAAGACCCAACAAGCTTTTTCAAAGTGAAGACAGCCCACCAGGAACCAGGGTCAGCAAATCAGGCCAAGGACAGACAGAGATTTTTTTTTTTCTTTTGCCCTGAAATGAACCTCCACCACTGGAGTCCGGTTTTCCAACCAGTGCAAGAAGAAATGGAACCTGACCATGGTGCTTAAAATGCAACATCCTAGAGGATGAAACAGCAGAGAAATCCCACTCCATTCACTCTGGCTCCTGGTGACATGTTTTTCTGCAGCCATCACAAATTCTGCAAAATATGCCTTCTATTGATTTAAACACTTTTTGGCCTGTTTGGGGCTGTCCTTGGCGAGCTTTCCTTTTCTAGAGGGTGACAAAATTGTAATTAGGAGATTGTGAAAAAGATACAGCCCACATAGGGGCCGATGCCTCCTTTTTCTAAGAAGGCATTCAGCAAGCAAGTTCTCCTCAAGTGTCATCAACATGGCCAGTCCCTTGTTACATTCATTACTCCAGCAGGGTAATTACTTATTCATTCCTCCAATGACTTATCTAAATGTACTTATTATTCACTTATTATCTTTCCAGCATTGTGGCACATAAAAATATTACAGGGACAATGCAGTCATGATTTCTGCCCCCAAGGAACTAGCGACTATGTTCCGCCAATTGGAATCTCTGGAGGACACAGCTAACATTCAGAAAGCAATTCGGAAATTGGGCATTAAGATCCTTAAAAATGCCCATCCCAGGAATTCACCTAGGAATTTGTTCTAAGGAAATAATCAAGAGATCAGGAAGGAGATTAATGTGCAAGTATGCTTATCGCAAGCATGATTTATAACAGCAACACACTGGAAGCAGCCCAAAAACCTGCCATTAGGGAAATGAATAAGTGATTAAAGCCACACTATGTGTGCAACATTAAACTACCATCAAAACTATGATGTCAACAAATCTTTAGTGTCATGAGAAAACACTTACAATATGTTAATTGAAAACGACCTCAAAAATTCCTTTAAATTATCTCAAATCTATTTAAACACACAATATAGTCCCTTCCATAGTTTAGACCTGAGTTTGCTCCAGAATGATGTCCATACAGGCTTGGCAGGATTTGGATCAAAAGATAAGAGGAGGGAGAAATGATTTTGAAGAATTAGCCTCATCTAAAGTAAAGTTTTAGCTGCTGCCGCCACCAAGGGGCAATCTGTATTTTGACAATGTCAAGCAATGCAGAAGCACTTCTCCAGATGAAATTTAAATTAGTTCTTTTTGTCATTGGTTTATTTCCCCTCTCCAAACCAGGAAGTTAAATTCAGGTGAATCTGCTCATGAATGACTTGGCAACAGGAACGCCGTCAGCAGGGAACATCTGCCTCGTGCAGCATGACAATGGCTTTCAGCTGGGCTAAGCAGGCACCCCAGACTTGGAAGTGAGTGGCTTGAATTTCACTTCTCGTAAAATGTAGGAGAAGTCCAAGCTAAGGCTTAAATTCTGACTTGTTTACAAATATGGAAAAGGAAATTAAAATAAATGCAAACTTTAATTTGCTCTGTTTTCACTGTAGATTGGTTTATTGTTTTCTTTATCTTTCATGAAGGTATTTTACACCTCTCAAAAATTGATTTACAAGAAATGTAAAGCTGCACCTTCTCTTCTTTATTGTAGCCAAAGCCTCCATTTTATCTGAAATAGCAGTGTAAGGTTTACACTCCTGTCCCACCATAACTCAAGCAAAACGCAATACAAATTTTGTCTGAAACTGTATATGGAAAGCCATAAACGTCAGCTACTAGAGCTTTATTCTATCCTCAAACCAGATTGCAACAAAACATAATATCTGAATTTAGGAGCATTTTATGAAGCCATGGGACTGTGTCCTGAGAAATACACTGAAAAGCTAACACTCTTCCCTTTAATCCCAAAATGTCACATAGTAACACCATTCTTTTTCCCATTGGCAGGTAGAGCATGTGGCCCACGTTCTGAATGTGAAATGAGGCCCTATTCAGTCTGCTGATTTCCTAGAGAGCTATTTACCACTGGACAGAACGAGGTGGGCCCTGAGAGCAGGAAATGAGGAAGGAGTAATGGGGCCCGGCTGAAAAGAACGTCTCATCTCTGCCCTCCTTATGAACCAAGAAGAGAGTCAAGTTCAGGTTCAGAGAGAACACAAGGTGCACCAGACAGATGCTCTGTGGCTAAAGGATGCTCCGACTCAAAACACCAATGGCAGATGGCTCCAAGGAGGCCCTAAAGACAGCCTCAGCAGGAAGAGAGGGGAGGAGATTAATAATATTACTCCTAGAACGAAGCAATTCACAGGGTGCCGGGAATCATGGCAGGGACCCTGTGACCCAAATTGAGTGAGTGGATGTCACTGCTGTGCTTAGCACACAAAAAATATTCCTGGACATGGACCTTAGTCAGCACTGGTGGGACATGAATGCCTGAATCCCAAGATGGTAAAACGTGAACCTGCTACAACAAGGGACACACTCAGAAGTCAGTCCCTTTCACTGCTAGTGCCAGTCATGTCTGGGTGCTAACTTATCAGTCTTGTGGCTACTGGTGACTCACTTAGAGTATAGGCCCACGACATTTCTGAGGCTGAGTCTCCTCTAATTCACACAAAACAACTCAGGCATAGAGAGCCAGGTGTGGAAAGCTCTTTCCGGTGGGCCAGGTGGCCAGGTGACCAGGTCACCAGGTCTTTGAAAAATACCAGGAAGAGAAACTCCTTACTGGTCTATCGAAGTGTGGCCCTAACAGCTGATAATTCACTACCACCTGGGTACCACAGGAATAACCACAACCCTTACTGATTTCACGGTGGTGAAGGCCAGGAGCTAGGAGCAGGCCTTTGTCAGTATTAATATTAGTTCAGGTTGGTGCAGTAAATATAATCTCTGGCAGCGGCAGAATGGACTAGAAAATCTTCCATGCTCTCTTCCACCCAGAGTTCTCCCATCTGTTTCCACAGCTCCACTTGGTGCTGTTTTCACATCATTCTCCTTGCCCTTACTTGCACTTGTTGGGGAAGCTCATCACCCACATGTCAGCAGAGAAGACTCCTTCTGGTCTGGATTTCTTAGCCCAGAGAGACCTTCTCTGAGCTGACCAGCAACTTCAGCCATCCCACTCACGACAATGTAGTTCCCTGCATTGTTATAATACAACAATTGTTGTTGTATTATACAACATTGTTATATATATACAACATTGTTATATATTATACAACATTGTTGTATATTATACAACATTGTTGTATATATACAACATTGTTATGATATAATGCAGGGAACTACATTTCCCAAGCTCCCTTGCTGTCTGCTTCTGCGTGTGTTCAGCCAATCGGAAGCTCTGGTAGAAGACTGGAGGGTAGGAAGAGGGGAGAACCCAGGGTATTTCACACTGTGTCTCTTCCCTGCAGCACTCACTGGCAGAAACTGCATCTCCTCGCTGGTTCTAACCCCCTATAAAACCCCCACCATGGTCCCAGCTCCCTGTAGCAGGTTCTAATGCCTAACCCAGCAGCTTCTGGATTCTCATAACCTAACCTCTTCCCCTTTTCCCTCTAGCCCAAAAGATGACAACGGCTTCCTGCTCCCGCTGTTCTTAATTTCTAAGTAACTTTACCAGCCCCAGATGGTACTTTATCATCCCCAATTTGGTTTCTCAGATTTTCCAGGACCTGAGTAACTAATTCCCTTTATTAAATTCCCTCTGTAGAAATAACTAGAGTGATTTCTGTTTTCCTGACTAAAGCGTGACTACTATATCCAGTCACTCATCATTCCGTCCTGTTATATTCCCTCAAAGCAACTATCACCATCTGAAATTAGCCTTTGCATTTTTCCTTGTTCGCTTGTTTACTATCCATTCTTTCTACTAAAATTTAGATACCATGAGAGAGGGGGCTTTGATGTCCAGTTTACTGCACAGTCTCCAGTACCTAGCAGGAGAAATTAAACAGATATTTGCTGAATGAATGTCCATCAATTAAGACTGCATTGGTTTAACGCTTGAGAGAATCAATCTCTCTGTGTTCCTTCTGAGTTTCTGGCTGGCTTCTTCCCAGGGTTGTTAATAGATACTGTTTTTATTAACACAGCATTTGCCCATCACACTATCACTCCATTCATTTCATCCTAAAATATCACACCACAGTCAGCTGGTCACTAAGCTGGCAGCTAGGTTTGCCAACCAAAGAGCTGCAATTCTCAGTAGAAGGAGAAAATATCGCTTAAAGGGAGATACACACCATTTACAGGCCAACACACCTAGGCATATTTGCCAGTCATGCCAGTTGATTATCACAGCAGTTGTAAAATAAGTTGTGTTAGACCCTTTTTAAAAAATTATGAAACTGAGGCACAGAGAAGCAATTTGAACATGGTTAGAATTCAAACCGGCTCTGTCCAATTCCAAAGGCGTTCCACTTTCTCATATTACCTGAGGGCCTACCTGGCCTGGCAGTTCTACAATGAGGCCAAGGAGTTAACCATTTGGAGGTCATATGAAGGAGCTGAACCTTAATGCTCACAAGGCCAGGTTCATGGACACAATCCCTGTACACCCAGTGAGGTTTTCATTGCTCCATGGTCACAGGTGATTGTATCTCCCATCCCAGATACCTGTTACCAGCCTGGATTCTCAGGTAGAGCAGGAAAATAGGTACAGCTGACCCAGAGCATCTCAACCCAGCTGCTAGCAAAACAGCCAGTGATCCCCACCTTTAAGACGGTAATAAAGATGGAAAAACATTACTACCTATAAACCACCTTACATATCCCAGAGCCTCAGGAGGAACAGCCTATGCAATAATTTGGGCCAAATGCTCTTGGATTAAGGTGGTCATTCATTAATAACAGCTGTGGTGGGGTGATACTATAAATTCCCAGTTTTCTTCTACTCCCAGGTGTACCCCTGTATTGTACCCTGGAGAACAGACCCTTCCACACCTCCGCATTTGAAACACGATTCATTCACTATAGAACCAAAAATGAAAGGTAGCAAATACTTGACTACTGAATTCCAAAGCCACCAGTATAAAAGCAAGATGCAAGAAGTCAGGTGAATCTCCACTTTTCTAAACTACATAAAACACATCATGGCCTGAGAAAGAAGAAGAGACGCTACAGACAGGCAAGCATGAGGCCACCAGTGCCAGCCAGTCATCAGGCAGGAGGCATCAGGCAGGAGTGACGCTTACCTTTTGTCCCAAGATTCTTCCCAACCCTCAAGCTGGGCAGCCCTGCTTGGCCAACCTGGGGCTCACAGGAACAGGAAACAGATATGAAGCAGAGAGGAAGCAGATGAAAGGCAAGTAGGAAGCCAGCAGGAGCAAACAGGAAGCAGACAGGGAGAGACAGGAAGTGGACAGCGAGAGACATGACACAGACACAGGAATCAGACACAGAACAAAAGGAAGAAACAGGTAGGTGCCTGCTCCCAGCCCCAGCCTTGCAGTCGCCTCTATCTTCCCTTATTGGCAGGGCCTACAAAGGAACAGCTGAACAAGGGTGGATGTGCAGAGACCCACCCCCAGAATCACACACTGGAGAATAGAAGAGCAAGTTTAAAACTTAAGAGCCTATAATGTAATAACTGGCACATCCCATTAACAGAGGAGGAAACTGAGGCACGGAATGAGGGGAGTTAAATTACACAGTAAATGATGGTGGCAGAACAGGAATCCTGGAAAACTGGCTCTATGATGTGCACTGCAAACCATCCCTGTACAGCCTCACATTAAAGAAGCTGAAGGAAGGGAGAATTCTTATTCCCAGAATTTCAGGATGATCCATAATTCCTTCTTGGTCCAGAAGGATACATGAAGATCCTAGAGAGGTGTATAAGGTAAAAACCTAAAAAGTGGGAATCTTAGATAAAAAGCCAGAATCCAGAGTGGCTTGTCTCTATCAGAGTCTACAGAATGGCTGTAGGTTTCATGAAAAACACCTAGATATTATAGTTTGCAGAACTACCAACAAAATAGAGAATACAGGCATAACATCAGGTCTGAGGGAGGAAAAGAAGCAACTTAGTTTGGACACATCTGAGTGAAGGTAAAGGGAGACAGCTGAAAATATGCGATCATGGGATTCCAGGGAAGTGGACCCCTAATTTATCTCCCCACAAAAGTAAGCTCCTTTTACACAAAATGCTACATCATCAACTACTCTGTATTCTCTGAGACAAGGATTCTCAACCCTGGCTGCATGGTGAATACATATATTATACTTAGGCCCTGCCCCCTCAGAATGTCTTTAGATGGTCTCAAGTGGGGCCCGGTATTTTTCTATGTTCACTAAATGATTCAAACAAACAGCAGCAGAAAAAATTCATGGACACTACTGAGTACACAATAGGTACTTTGTATATAGTCATAAAAATGAATAGTCAGGGCAAGGAGAGCCACCCTTGAGGGGAAGTCTTGGATCATGTGCCAGCAAGTCCATAGAAGGTTAGAGGCAACTTTATAAATTACAACAGCAAAATGATAAAAATATTTTAAAATAAGGGCAAAGGGAAAATAAGAATAGAATCATCATTATCATCATCATCATCATTTATATGTACTAAGCATTTTGCAGGTATTAAAATCATTATCATCAAGTCATCGTTTACTTAATCCTTATAATAGATCAAACATTATTCCAAGCATTTTATAGGTATTAACTATTTTAATTTTGATAATCTTTTGACTATGAGGATTTAGTTTTTACCCCCACTCATAGATGAGAAAACTGAGGCACAGGGCATTTACATGACTTGCCTAAGATCATATAGCTAGTAAGTGGTGGAAGTGGAATTTGACCCAGGCAGTCCAGCTCCAGGCAGAGTTCTCACTATTAGCCACTATGTTCTGCTGCCAGAGGAAAGTTCAAGCAAGCAAAATCTACATTGTAAGAGTATAATCAGTGACTAAAGGAAACTGCAAATGTGGCTGTGAATTGCCCACAGCTCTCAAAGCACAAGATTAGGTCACTATTTGGACACTGTCCATAAAATGAAAGCAAGAAGCAAAGCTTTTCCTGGCTCTAAGAGAAGTTCCTCTGGTGAGTGCTCCCAACTGGCCCCTGCAGGGTACCACATCATTCCCACATTACACTGTGAGCTTATGAGAATGCCTCCTATGGTGGGCTCCATGTAAGATGGGCCTATAACAACTATGGACAATGAAGCAAAAGCAGTTTTCCAGAGGGCCCCGTGGTGTGTGCCAAGACCACTGACAGCTTTTGGAATAGTCTAGCTTAATAGAAAAAGAAAATCCAGAATGTGATTCTAGAAAACCCGACGTTGTACACTCTCCTCCTGCATGTGCTTTCTTCCCAAACTAGGGAAGGCTTTTAGAAGGAGTCAAGTGGCAGAGCACTTGAGATTATGTTCTGGGGCTACAAATATTTTAGAGAAACAGTTGAAGGCAAATGTGTACAATTTGAAACATAACAAAGAATACCAACCTTTTATTTCCTAATTTCCACCACTGCGTTATGCTGAGAAAGTCCTCCTCCATATCCCAGGATCAAATAGACACTACCTACACTTTTGCTTGGTTTCTGTGCATGGGTATGCACAGATGGGTGCGTCTCTACATTTTTACACTTAATTCTTGAAGCTACCTGAAATCTCTACTGTTGTATAATGTGAAGTGAGAATCTGATAAAGTTGAAAATGAGCATGCACTGAATTCAGCCAGTAGAAAGATTTTATTTGACTTTGCAGTTTGGGTTTATTTTAACTGAATCTGAATGCTTTGTGTCAGGGTGCACACACATTTTTCACTATTCTCCAATTCACTAACACCCACTTACACCTACTCTTTTCATTCATTTCTGGTACGTGCCTCAGCCTTGATCTTAGAAATTGCTTTCCCAAATAGCTAGCCACTTTCTCCAAACTGCGTTTATATAATGTGTCTCTCTGCCAATGATTTCTAATGCTTTCTGATTATTTGTTAAGACCTGATACATGCTCAAGTCTACTTGTGATCTATTTATTTAACTTCTTTGTTGCGTGACTACACTCATACCAATACATTGTAGCTGAAATTAACGTGGATTTACAATACAGTTTATTATGTAGGAGTGTTATGGACTGAATTGTACCTCCTCCCAAATTCATACGTTCAAGTGCTAACCCCTGGCACCTCAGGATGTGACTGTATTTTGGGACAGGGTCTTTCAAGAGGCAATACAGCTAAAATAAGGCCACTAGGGGGGACAAATATTTTTATCCCATGCTGTAGCTAGCTCCTCTGTCTTCTCGCATTGTGTCCTCAGCATGTAACTTTGCTCCTCCTGGTTGCACAGTGGCTGCTGTATCTCCATCCCTCTCAGGACACAGCACCAACACCCACACTTGGATGCCTGACATTTCTCTGGAGGGTTAATTGTCCTTAGAGAGGAGTTGCCTTTTTGAAGAGCTACTGGGGAGAAGTACCAAGCATTCTGCCTTTTACTGAGGATGGGGGCATTGGAAGGAGGTCTGCCTGGAATGGGTGTCTCATCTTCAGAATTTAGTTACTCGTCTTGCTTGCAGCCCTTTTCATGCCTGTCCTTGCTCTATTTGCCAACATGGGGCCAAGAGCCCTCAATTCAATAGGACTGGCATCCTCACAGGAAGAGGAAATTCGAACACGGACACACACAGGGAAGACCATGTGGTGGCAGAGGAGGCAGGCAGCCATCTACAAGCCAAGAGAGGCCTCAGAAGAAACCAAACCTGCTGGCACCTTGGTCTTGGACTTCCAGCCTCCAGAAATGTTAGAAAATAAATTTCTGCTGTTTAAGTGGCCCAATATGTGGTACTTTGTTATGGCAGCCCTAGCAAACTCATACAGAGGGATTACTGTTCTTTATCAAAATCCTATTAGCTAGACTTCCCTGCTTTCCATCTTCCGAGTTAACTTTAGAATCACATGGTCAAGTTGCCCATGCCAAAACTCAAATGGACTGTCAGCTGGAGGTGAGGATCTGCACAATGAGAGTGTGGATGCCTTTCAACTTCCTGCCATATTTTTCTATGTATTTTCAAGTTTTCTAGAATGAACATGTGCTGCTTATTCAATCTAAGAGAAATATTGACATTCTTCCTTCAAAAAGAAAGATATGGAATTTAATTTTAAGTAGCAGACTGAGTACACTCATTCCCTCCATCTCCACAGAAACCCAAATGAAATAAAAGCATAAAAGTACAAAAAGGAAAAAACCTATTATCAAGAGAAATGGAGGAAGGATATCTGCAAATAAAACACTACAACAAATTTAAGAAAGAGAATACGTGGATAAAAGTGTGTTGACGGGCAGGACAGCAGAGGAAACCTTAGACTAGAACATTCTGCATGTGCTGCCAAGGATCAAGAGGTTACTCTGCCCACTGGAGCCCAGAGGGACTCCGGGCTACCTGCTGGCACGTACAGTGAGGACACCTGTGAAATTGGAGCTGGAAAAAGGAGAGTAACTAGATTCTGTAGATGGGACACCCCCTCCAGGCAGACCTCCTTCCAGTGCCCCCATCCTCAGTAAAAAGCAGAATGCTTCATACTTTTCCCCAGTAGCTCTTCAAAAAGGCAACTCCTCTCTAAGGACATTGAGTTAACCCTTCAGAGAAACATCAGGCATCCAAGTGTGGGTGTTGGTGCTGCGCCCTGAGAGGGATGGAGATAGGGCAGCCACTGTGCAACCAGGAGGAGCAAAGTTACACGCTGAGGACACAATGCGAGAAGACAGAGAGCTGGTCACAGCATGGGATCAAAGAAAAAACAAGATCAAATCCTATTCGCCTAAGCCACTGTGGCCAGGGTTTCTGTTACTTGCAGCCAAACACAATCCTAAATGATAAGAAAAGAGAAGTACATGGCAGAGTGCCTGGCCCAAAGTAAGTAGGAAATAAATGTGTGTTGAAAGAATAAATGAATAAATGGAATAAAGTTGATACTTTTAATGCAAATAAGTAAAAACAAAATGTGAAAAAGGGAGGAAGCTAGGTAAATTAGCTAAATCCTCATCTTTTATAGAGGGAGCACTGCTGTCTACATTTATTAACTCAAGAAGTCAAGGTAGATGAATAATTATAGAAGTAATCACCAGAAGAACTAAAACCAGAAATGGCTAGATGTGGCAGACTCTGGGGAAGGAAATCAAGGATATAGAGGAATGGAAGACTATGGCCTTTTTTTCAAAGTTATTCTGTACCATTTTAATCTCACCATCTGCATGCATGATTGAGGATAAGAAGCCTTTGTGTGTATGAGCCCAAACCTAGCCAAACAAGGGAAGATAGCATAGAACAGAATACTGGAAATCTGAGTATAGGGGTAAGGGGAGAATGCCCTCATTCTAGACAATAAGACATTATTGGGCCTGTGGGTGAGATGGCCACCTGTCAAGGGGGGAAAATCAAA